TGAAAAATGGAAGCCGTGAAATCCTCCCGCTTCCTCACCCTCATGTGGTCCCGCTGGGCAGAGAGACCCCCCCACCCGCCGAGAACCACCGCAGAGCTGAGTACTCCCACGCTCCACGCAGGCACGGCTAGGGACTAGCAAGCAGAGGAGGAGACTCAGACCACCAGCTCGTTGGGGCAGAGCCTGTCTCTCTGTGCACGCAGGTCCGGGGCCAGCAGCGTGTGCTTGTTTCTGAGGCCAGTGCTAAGGACTCAGGAGTCTGACAGCATGGTTAGAGGGAGGCTGCCACCGCGACACAACCCCTGGCACAGCCCGGCTCTGCAGCACCTACCAGCTTTCTCTGAGCCCGATGCCACTGCTCCTTAATGTCCTTCCGTCGTTTTTCATGTTCAAGGCGCCTCATGGTTAGTGGCTGGAGGAAGAAGGAGGAACCCCACAGTGGTTTGCAGTTAACGTTATTAGGGGTCAGAGCAAGGGGATGCTTCTCTCTTTTGTAAAAGGGCTCGGACATCGACTGCTGAGCAGTGCTGTCAAATCACTAATGCCAGTCGTGCCCAGCTACGGGGTGGGGTTGCGCTCTGGACAAAGAGTCGCAAGTTCAGTGGATGCCAAATGCGGTTTCACTTAGGACGGCTCTCAGTGAGTGCATCAGTTCAGTGGAGCTGGTGCACAGCCTCGGCTGGGCAGCTTTCTATGGGTGATCAGTGTGTGAAACCATGTCTAAACGAAAGGGAAAATATGCAGGCTCTGAGTGGGGCTGGAGGATGGTGGTTGGTTTTCCTGACCCTTGGATGGTGTCATCCAAGAGCCAGACCCTTTATCCATACACCCCAGGACGTTGGATGAGTTGCTCTGACTCCAGCTCACGTCCAATTCAGTGCAGTAAGCCAAATGTAGCACGTTTCAGGGGCCTCAGGATACATTTGAGACACTATTTTTGCTTCTTAACTAGTAACCCAGCCACATGGGTAGTCAAATTTAGGACATGATAATATAGTAAACAAGCCACACAGTAGTTCCACATATAACGTGTAATAACTTTGTGGCTAGTTTATATCAGCCCAGCTGGGCAGCACACGTGGTTTTACAAGTCCTGGAGAGGGGGCTGCTGCAGGTTCCCCATGCTGGGGATAAGTGAAAACCCTGTGTCAGCACCTGGGGTTTGGATGGGTCCCTGCACATGGGGACCCCTGCACCAGGGACGAAGCCACATTTCTACTTTAACAGACTTGGGGTGGGGAGGGCCTGTACTCAAATAGCGCTTCCTCTTTCTAAGTCAGGAACACGAATGTGCCATGTGTCCTGTGCAGACCAAAGAGCAAAACCAAGGGCTTTCTCTGCCTCTGCACCGGGGCGGGGGTACATGTGCAGTCCTCTCACCTGCAAGAAGGTATGGTTTTGCAAGGTGGCTGCAGCTTGCACTGTTGAGATGCCATACTCCATGTCCTGCTCCAGAGCCAGCGAGTAGATGGACAGGAACGGCATATACGACTAGAAAAGGAACACAGGGTCAGCACAACAGCAGCTGGGCAGAGCCCTAGGCCAGGCAAGCGCTTGCAGCTGTGTGTGGGTGGAGGAGAGTGGGAGGCATACACCACTTGGGTGCTGTGGGCTGAAGCCTGGAGCTAGATTTAAGTATCGATGCATCATCCCCTGTGAGCTGAAACAGCCGGGAAAGTCAGAAGATCTAAGCTTGACGTGCCAGACCTCGCAAGCTGAAGCATCGGTGGGGACAGCATTGTGGGTCTGCTGCATTATATAACCATGGGCAGTAACCTCTTCCCCTGCACATTGACACCACTGCATGTCTGTCCGGGGGTGCTGCAGTGGGGCATTGGAGTTTGCCAGTGGGGGAGGATGCTCAGACATTAAGAGAGGTGCGGGACTTTTCTGGGAGGGCTCAGTGTTGACCTCTGGCTTCGGCTTAGTTGGTGGCTTGGCCTAACTCCATGCCTGCTTCTGAGGGCTTCTGAAAAACCCACCCCAGCTCGTTATCGAGCCCTCCGGAGGCTGCGGATCCGTGCAGGAGGGGAAGGGAGATGTTTCTGGCTGCTGGTGTGGCCTTGCTGGGCACGGGTGGTGTGGAGACACCTACCTCCTGAGCGATGGTTTGCTTACAGCTGTTGACAATCTTCTGTAGCCCTTTGGCAAACTCCAGTTCTGGAAGAGAAAGGAAGGAAGCAACAATGGCTGTGAAACCAAGGCATGCACCCTGCCGCAGAATTGCTTTGGGGAAGACAGTACATCAGTTCTTGAAGCACTACCCAGAAATGGCAGCATGCACAGAGCCCTGCACCTGCCTTCTGTGGGCAGCTCTTTTCTAGGGCCCAGCCCCAAGCCCCTAGGAGCATGCAAAAGGACTGGCATTACAGCCCATGATGATGTTTGGGACTCGGCATGTCGGCTACCCACTCACCCAGCGTGGTCCTCTTCTCTAGGTAGTACATGAGGTCCTTCATATACTTGGAGATGTTTTTGGCATACTGGAGGGCAGCTTCAACTCCGCCCTCGCACCTCTGGAGTATGACGTCCACCTCCTCCGCAGACAGACGGCCTGTGACCCAGGGAGAAAGAGGATGACGGGACTGGAGGAGGAGCTCATTAGGGATGGTGACTGGGCTGTGCCAATGCTGGGACTTAAAGCCAGAGGTTCCTGGCTCCTCTGCTCAGGATCAGACCCATCACCACATTTGGGGTCAGGAAGGAATCTTACCCCCTGGTCAGATTGGTAAGGACTGGGGGTTGCCTTCCTCTGGAGCAGGGGCACAGCCTCTACTTGGGGTCTCATGCATGTATATTAGCCATCTTTTATAGAAGCAGGCTCTTGGCTGCCGTGGTCTACCTGTGGCAGGTTTGGGTGTGATGTCTTGTGCTGTGTCAGGGTTGGTGGTAGTTTTAACAAGCAGCTGGATGATGGATTTGTCTGGGATGGTTTGCACAGAGCTGATTGGGTTGGACTAGATATGACCTCTGCAGGTCCCTTCCAGCCCCGCTGCTCTGTGATTGCATGAGCACGTTGGTGCCATTTGAAACAAGCACAGCACGGAGGATGCTCACAGGGTGCCTGGGCTTCACTGCGTATTGCATGCTTTACCTCTGCAGCCAGCTGTGGCAGATAAGGGGGCATCTGCTTACCTGAGTCATAGTTTCCGATGCCAGGGAGCATGTCCTCTCCCCCATGCCCAGAGATCCCGTAGAGGTTCTCTATAGACTGTCGGAAAAGGAGCCCATTGGAGAAGGAGAAGAGGGGACACCCAGGAACGGGCTTGGAGGAGGGCCCCATGGGGAGTTCAGAGGGGAGCAGATGTCTGCCCAGCAACAGCTCGAGGCCCACATCAGAGCATCACTCACCTGATTCTGGTCCCAAGGAGGTATGGAGAGGAGGGTGCTGCTGTCCACCTCCCCCATGAGAAACTCCGACACCCTGGAGGGACAGGGAAGAGACGGCGAGTCAGCGCTGCTGACTACAGAGCAGAAAGCAATCCCATAGCGGTCCACGGTGCCGGCAGGGACCCCGACCCGGGGCCTGCGTCTGCCTATCGACTGGAGCTTCAGTGAGGAGGGGATCAGCCCTGGGGGATTTAGCCCCAGCGGTGAGGATGAGGATGAGCAACTCAGCCAACCAGACAGGGCTGCGGGGGATAACAGCAGACAGCGATACCTTATAGGTCCTGCCCAATGGGACCGGCCCAGCTCATTTCAGTGGCATCTCGAGTGCCCCAAGGGAAGGAACAAATCGAAATCCCTGCTGGGCGATACCTAGGAGCTTGCAACTGTGTGCGTGCATGCCTGCGTGTGTGTGCACATCTCTCTCGGGTCCTAGTACACGCCAGTTGGGAGCTGCCGGTTGTGCATGGGACGCGAGTGGAAGGACACGAGGTCTGTCTTGCAACGGGGAAGGTAAGATTTGGGGAAAGCGGGGGTGGAGATCTCCTCCCACCCGCAGGGGCCTGCGGTTCACCTACGTGCTGCTGAAGGAGACGGCAATGGTCTCCACGGCTTTCTCGAACTCCCTCTTGTCCGTCTCGTTGTTGGTTTCAAAGTGGAAGCCTGGAGATGGAAGCAAGAAAACCTCCGTGTAGCCAGAGCCTCTGGGTCTAGCGGAGGCTAGCGAGGGTCTCGGACTGATGCTGGCATTGCCAAGACTCACGGCCTGGTTTGGATGCTCTGGCTCCCAGGCCCAGCCGCTGAGCCTCTTCCACCTTGTTTGCCTGGGCAAGCAGGTGCTGCCCACAGTCTTAGGTCTGAGCACTGCTTCGGCTTGGCTGAGCTGGGGCATGATCTGGGAACCCTTTGAAATGCACCTAGATGCCCTTGTGCCGGAGCCCAGGGAGCCGCATAGTGGGGAAGGAAAGGGAAGGGCCTGGTGGGGGATGTGCATGGGGGCAGGGGAAGAGGGGATCCAGGATTGTCCTCAGTGTAGTGATCCCCCAGGGTTTATCCAGTCTAGCTGCAAATGTCTCCACTGATGGGGCTTTTACTGCTCCCCAGGGGGGCTGATTCCCCATTCAGCTCCAGCCAGGACTGCCTCGTACACAGCCCCCATTTCTCCCAAGGTGAGCTGCACTGTTACTGTCCCACGGGCCTCACCACAGGTAATAACCCTGTTGACTTGTAGCCCTGTTTTAATGCCACGTGTTTCCTGTCTTGGGCTGTCTTGAGCACTGATAGCTTTGCGATGGAAAGGGCCAAGCCAAGGCCACCACCAACCTAGGCCAGGGAGGCTGCGTTGGGCAAGGCCAAGCAGGTGGAGCGAGACCTTCTCTCCCACCCCAGACTTTGAAGTTTAACTCTAAACATTGAACGTGGGCCTGATCCCCCCCAGTTATTCATCATCCTGCCTCTTGCGCTGCCGTTGATGCCAGCGTCACGTGGCAGCGAAACACAACCCCGCCGCTCCGGTGGCACAAGTGCAGGCAGCCGCGCGGGGTGCAAAGGATGGAGACTCAAGTCTCCCGGTCCGAGGCTGGGAATCTGCCTCCATGCCCCTGGACTCGGCCAGTTTAGCTGCTGCGTGACCTCGGGGCTCTCGACATCGCCCACGTCAGCGCTTGCCGCGGTCGTGCTTGCGCAGACCCTGGCCCGTGCCGGGGCCCCTGAAACAAGCTGATCGTCAGATCTAGTTCCACCCTGCTACGGAGGTGCTTCCTGTGCCCTGCGGTTACGGTGTCCAGGAAGCGAGGGCAGTGACGCAGGGTGTTGTGCTTGCTTCTGTGGTTAAGGCAGCCCTCCCTTCCCCCTCTGCGACGGCTCTCCAAAGGCTCGGGCCCTGGCGAGGATTGCAGCCTGACACAACCGCCTCATAAACACGGGGACCTGCCAGCGCTCGGGGAGAGGACTGATTTCTTGGCAGCGGCACCCAGAAGCTCCCTCCATGCTCTTCGCTGGGCTTGGGATGAGGCCTGATGTGGCCCCGGTGACAGCCAAACAGGTGAACCCCTGTTGAACGTGCCCCACAAGGGCCCCTCCATCCTGATGGACCCACAGCGGACGGGAGCTGCTCCGGCTCCCAGCCGGGAAGCTTCGAGTCTGGAGCTCCTGCTGCAGCAGCCGCTGCTTTTATCTCGAGCCCCCCGGGGCAGTCCCAGCTGCGTCTGAGATGGCAGCTCTTAGAAATCACGCATTTTTCTCCCCTGCTTTCTGCACTGAACCAGCCCGAGCAGACCCAGCCATGCATTTCAACGGCCCCGGCTTGGCTGAGAGCTCTCGCACCTGTTGCACCCTCTGTGAGCAGCGCGTGCAGCCCCGTGGCATTTAGCAAGCTGCCCAAGCCCCAGCCCTTACCCATAAAACAGACGTTAGCATAACAATAGCACGTCCTTCGCGCTCCCCGCGCAGACTTCAGGACCTGTAACCTCTGGGTCCTGCAGGGATCTGGCTCCCTGGGTCCCGTCCTCGGCTGCCTCACAGGCTGAGCCCTCACCTGCTCACATCTACCAGGGAACGAGCACAGGAGATCTCCACCGCCCTGAACCTTTCAGTTACCGAGGGACCAACTTATCCCCGGGGGACAAACTAGGACCACTTCGGGGCTGCTCTACATGGGGGCCTTCACAGCAGGTCCCCGGGAGATCTCTGCCGGGTGGGCACCGATGGCGGATCCCATGCACCTGGGTAATCGGCTGCTTGCTGCGGATCCATCCTGTTTTCGTGTTAATCAGCACCTGGTTTCCCTAATTGTATGGACTTGCCAGCGTGGCTACTCTTCATCGTAGCTGGTGGGACATCTCTTAAGCCATGCTGGCGTTTCCTCTTGAAAGCACTAAGACAGCAGCAAGGGCAGAGGGTCTGAGGGTCCTGATTTTCAGACCTGGTTTAGGCACCTCCATCACACCAGAGAGGCAGGTGCTCAGGGCAAGGCCAGGCAGGTGGAGTGAGCCCTTCTCCCCCCACCCCAGGCTTTGAAGTTTAACCCTAAATGTTGAACACGGGCCTGATCCCCCCACTGCTTGAGGGTGGGGCCTCGAGGACCGGAGCTGAAGCCAGCTAAAGCGAACTGAACGGTTCCCGTCCTCGCAGAAAGTCATGCTGAAATGCCTGCACTGGGACCTCTGCATCACGGCCTAGTCCGGCGTCGCAGGTAATGACTCCAGGGCCCCTGGAGCTGGGCAAGGCCGACAAGCTGGGGGAGCTGGCCTTTGAGAGCAGCCTGCAGGCTCGTAGCCTGCCACGCCAGGTTGTGGCGCGTGAGAAGATGAATTGTGCTGGGAAGGGAATCCCAGGCATGTATTTGTGCCCTAGTCCCTCGAGCGCTTTCCTAGATGCCTCCCTAGAAGGCGTTGGCTCTGCCCGTATCTCTTGGCTCAGCGCAACAGGCAAGCTGAGGGCGCCGTGTCCCAAGGCTTTCCTAGCTCTAGTGATCGCAACCATGCAGGCGAGAGTCTCCAAGGCACCAGCCAGGCCCCAAAGCCCCACGGACTGTCCCTGAGAGCAGGGCCTCTGCCCACGTCCTGAGCATCTCTCCCTCCACGCTGAGCTCAATCTCATCTCACTTCTTTATATTGCAGGCATGCCCCCTCCTCGCAGGCCAGGACCCCCCGCCCCAGTGCCAGGCGCTGTACAGCAGAGCAAAGAGATGGGCCCAGCCTGAAGGAGCTTGCATTGCCCCCAGCCACGTGTGAGCAGCTCCGTGCCATTCGCTGCTCTGGATTCGCGCCAACGTGAGTGAGGGGCTACCCAGGCCTCTATAAGGGCTGCTGATCAGAGATGGGGCTGTGCCGTCTCCCTGGGCGAGTCGCTTGACCAGGCATTTCCAGGTTATTTGGGAGGGAGCTGATTATCTGCTGCTGTGACAAGTCATCTGCTTTGGGTCAAAGCAGTTGCCGCGGCGGGAGCCAGTGCAGCATCCTCCCAGGTTTGGC